CCGAAAACAAGTCATATTTTTGTAACTGGTATTTAAGTAACTTCATATTGCATAGAGGGAGGTGATTAGATGATACTATCAATAAAGCTATATTTTTGTGACTTTTTTTGTTCCATCATTCTTCTTCTTGTTATTATCATATTTATCATTGTTATCATTGAGATGAATTAATATATTAATGAATTAACTATTGGTTAACTTATACAATGTTGTGTGATTCTTTTTTAAACTCTGTAATTATTTTATAAAGAATTTGGTTTGATAAGCTATTTTTGTTTTTATTTTCTCGGTGGTTTGAATATGAATATTACGGGTCGAAAATAGTAGGTGTGAAATCGGAGTTTGATAGTAGATAATAACTTTGTACAACCAAGTAAAATGCGAAAGAGAGGTGAAAGAAGAGAAAGAGAATGGGAGAGGGAGAAGGGAGAAGAAAGTTTCAATTTTTGACTTTGAAAGTTTATTGATGACAAAACGTTAACTCCTAAAGATGGGGTAATATAGGTTATCTAGAGAGAAAGAGGAGAGAGAGAGAGAGAGGAGAGAGAGAGAGAGAGAGAAGAGAGAGAGAGAGAGAGAGAGAGAGAGAGAGAGAGAGTAGCGAGAGAGAAGAGAGAAGAGAGAGGAGAGAGAGAGAGAAGAAGGAAGAAGAAAGATAGGAAAATAGATAGATAGAAATAGATAGATAGATAATGAGATGAGATAGACTAGATAGAGAGAGAGAGAGAGAGAGAGAGTAAGAAGAGAGAGAGAAGAGAAGAAAGGAGAGAGAGAGAGAGAGATGAGAGAGAGCAGAGAGAGAAGAGAGAGAGAGAGAGAGAGAGAGAGAGAGAGAGAGAGAGAGAGAGAGAGAGAGAGAGGAAAGATAGAAGAATAGATAGATAGATAGATAGAATATAGATAGATTAGAGAGAGAGGAGAGAGAGGAGAGAGGAGAAGAGAAGAGAGAGAGAGGAGAGAAGAGAGGAGAGAGAAGAGAGGAGAGAGAGGGAGAAGGAGAGAGAGAAGAAGAGAGAAAGATAGAAGATAGGATAGATAGATAGATAGATAGATACATAGATAGATCAGATAGATAGATACGAATAGAGAGCAGAGAGAGAAGAGAGAGAGAGAGAAGAGTAAGAGAGAGAGGAGAGAGAAAAGAGAACAGAGAGAGAGAGAAAGAGAGGAGCAGAGAGAGAGAGCAAGAGAGAAGAGAGAGAGAGAGAGGGAAGAGCAGGAGAGGCGAGGAGAGAGGAGAGCGGGCAGAGAGAGAGAGAAGAGAGAGAGAAGAGATGAGAGAGGAGAGGGAGAGAACGAGAGAGAAGAGAGCATTAGAGAGAGAGAAAGACGAGAGAGAAGAAAGAAGACTGTAGATGATAGATAGGATAGAGAGAGAGAGAGAGAGGAGAGAGAGAAGAGAGAGAGAGAGAGAGGAGGAGGAGAGAGAGAGAGGAGGAGAGATGAGAGAGAGAAAGGAGAAGAGAGGAGAAAGGGGGAGAAGATATGGATAGATAAAGGAGAGAGAGGAGAGAGAGCAGAGGGGGGGGAGGGGGGGTAAAGGAGGAGAGATATAGAGAGAAAGAGAAGCAGAGAAGAAGAAGAGGAGGAAGAAGTAGAGAGAGAGAAGAGAGAGGAGACGAGAGGAGAGCAGAGGAGAGGAGAGAGGAGGAGAGAGAGAGGAGAAGAGAGAGAGAGAGAGAGAAGAGAAAAAAGAAGAAGAGGAAGAGAGGAAGGAAGTAGAAAGGGAAATTGCCACAATAGACAATATAGAGAGTACCATTCTGGTTGCCCCGTAAAAAAACACGAAAATGAATGAAACAATAGTGATTGTAATTGAGAACAAGCGAAATAAAGATTTTATAAGCCAGCCGTTGACCACATCAAATTAACAGGTTCGATTGTCTTTTAAGAGACAAGAGAAAAAGGAGAACATCCTCCTTATCATATAAATACAAAAGACCATGGAGATAAGCCTTTTTTCCTTGCGTTATGTTTTTATCGAAGTATGTCGTCTGAATCATTCGCTCTATATCTGTGTTATCATTGTATCTCCCTTAACCTAAAGTCTGGCTGACATGCGTATGATATAGTTCAACTATATGCATCTATCATTAAACAGATAACAGATCTCGCATCTAATCAAATAAGCATAAAAAACAACTGTTAGATAGTAAGAACGCATCTTACATTCATATGGTATTGTATTTATACCTGTCTATTATATCTTTAGATTAGAGATTGAAGTAATTTCATGAATTGTAATCTTATATTGACTTGAATTCAAGGGATAATAAGCTTTAAGGCAATCGATTTATTTACCAAGCGGTGAGAAGCCTTCAATGAAAAAGTAAAAATTAAAGGTACTGCCAATAAGCATGGGATAATATAACGTGGATAGCAAACAAAAACAACGAGAACAATTTACAGAAGTAATTGATAACGGTAGAAAATCTATCCACACGCGACATTTTTATCGATTCACTCATCTTATTATTTATACTAATATTGTAACTTTTATTATCCTATTCATAATTATTTGACATAGACTTCCACATAAATCAATTATGACAGCATGGTTTTCGTAATATTACTTACATTTCATATACCAGCAGTGTTTTGAGTTTTTTGAATATTCATCCATCCACTCACTATCATCAGCCAACAACCTTCCATCTGAATATCCCGTGGCTGGCTCCTTGATATCATTATTTCTGCCCTACGTAGGTTCACAAAGATCTTGCACTTTCTATCTGCAATCATTAATAAAACCCCTACAATGACAAAACATACAGTCTGTTTGCATTCAAGAAACTCGTATTTCGGTAAGTTCTGTTGATATAAATAGAATCCCACTTTTGGCTACTCCCCAGCAAAATTCGATATTTTTAATGAATTTCGAAACATCCCCTTTCCTATTCAGATGGGTGGTCAAAAATATTGCTCATATTTTTCGACAACACCCTCACCAAGGAACTCAATAGGATTTTTTTCTTTCT